CTGAGGGCCGCTGCCTGAACAGTTCTGCACTGTGGCATCCAAAAGACTCGGTGTGTGTTTGAGCTCATACTGTACTGTCTGCACCGCAGGCACAGCTTTGATGTTGACGGGCGGCTTGGCGGCATGTATTCATGGATAGTTCTTCCCTTTTTCTCTTGTTGATAGATGTCCTGTAATAAAGGGGATTCTCGAGAGTCAAACAAAGAAAATCACTTGCAAGTAAGTAACAGACGACAGTTTCTCTACTCAGAGTGTACGTCCACAGCAACACTCGACTCACATGTGTGTGCCCCCCTCCCCCGTCTCACTGCTTTCTCAGAAGATTTGTTCTCCTCCCCTAAATTCCTCTCTAACTCACGCTGAGCCTGAAGAGGATCCGCCAGGTTTCTGGGCGGGGCTTTGGGGGGATTCACAGGAACGGCCGAATACTTGTAGCCAGTTAATTTAATACCTGACTCACCCGACACATGACTGAAAATCTAAAGTGTTACTTTTTTCTTCCGTTCAATTTCTGCTTTTGTCTTTTAACACCTAAACCAAAGCACAGACACCCAGGAGATATAAACCGTAGCTGGTCATTACCCTCTTTGGTTCACAGGTTAGGTCCACATTTTCACTCATTTGGTCAAAATGCATCTGGAGACTTGATTTGAACGGTAACACCTTCCAGTTTCTGAAACGAGGCCCTTTCAGCATAAAGACGTGACATTATTCCCCATGTTTACACGCTCGTGCGCGTGACCTGCAGTTTAAACAGCCCTCGTGGATGTATTTGCTTCCAGAAGACTCTCACAGTCGCATATTTGCATAGACTTTTTCTCTGCAGTTGGTGTGAACACGTCTTTATTAAATGTGTAATGTTACCACCGTTTGGAGTTTTGCAATGTTCTTCTGTTGACTCTTTGATCTCACATTAAACTGACATATTAATGATACAAATGTAATTAACATGATTTGTGCATTTTTTAACAATAATTGTTATTTTATGACATTGCAGCTGAATTTGCTGCCTCTGTGCACCACAAAGGTCATTTAGTGTCATTATTCTCCAGCAAAGGTAAATGTTTTGGTTCGTTTACAGCAGTTTTTAACTCGAGAACTCAAAGTGCACTCTTTGGTGAACGCATTTAGAGAAAATCATCAGGATACTTTGGCCTTTCTGCTCAGCCACCACAGCCGCCCAGGTCGATCGTGTATATCTTCAAAACAGAAAACAGAACAGCCGTCTAGATCAAAGGTTAAAAAGCAAAACAGACAACAAAAAAGTTTTATTTCAATTTTAATTTAGCGAGAAATTAAAAAACTAAAGCACTGATGTCATGTTAGTGGTACACATATGAAAAATGTCTGATTGACACTAACCTCATAGTTGGTGATACTGCACCTTAACACTGCAAACACAACATGCAAAACA